CTAAACCCTAAACCCTAAACCCTGAACCCTAAACCCTAAACCCCATCACCATGGCTTGGGGGCGGTTCGGGGGCTCAGTGGCTTTCAGGGTCCGTCGCAAGGGCCCGTAACTGTGGGGCCTCGATGTATCTTGGAGCGGCCGTGTGACGAGACTCACATAACTCCCCTAAACCCTAAACCCTAAACCCTAAACCCTAAACCCTAAACCCTAAACTTTCAAGATTTCAAGGTCTAGATCTGGATTTAGTGTCTTGGGTTAACGCCCAGGGTTTTTAAGGTTCGTGGATTTAGGGTTCAGGGCCTAGGGTTTCAGGCTTATAGGGTTCATGAAAACGAAAGAAGTAGTTCTTAAATGTTGTGGGATCTAACTGGTAGGTGGGCAGATATTCGATACCATAGTAGAGAGCTTCACAGATAAATTCTTGGACTTCAGATGCTGAACCCTAAACCCTATACACCCTCAACCCATAACCCCTAAAGAAGTTAAAAGGGTATGCAGGTCTCCCCACCCTAAACCCTCAGGGCTTAGGGTTTAGGGTACCCGAAACTTGCACCCAAACCTCCCTAGCCCACCCGAAACCAGTTAGGGCTATACCCGTACATTTAGGGCTTGCGACCGCCTGAGGGCAGTTTTAGGGTTCAGGGCTAGAGCTTTAAAGGCCAGTTTATCCCAGATGCCTCAGCTGCTTTTGCTTGTAAAGGGTTCTTGGCTTCAAGTCTTTTCATGTAACCCCCCAACCCTGAACCCTGCAACCCCAAAAAGTTGTTTAAGGCTTCTAAGTTGTTAAGCCAGGCTGTAGGAAAAAACTCCGCCCTACGCCCTAACAAAGCCCCAAGACCTGAACCCTAGACGCCGAAGCTTGGGGGCCGCGCCGTCCCGCGATCAGGAACTTGAGGTCCTCTTAACAAGGGCTTGAAGAGGCGAGGAAGTTGGGTCTAGGGTTTTCGGCTGCTTAAGGTTTTGGGTTGTATGGGGCGGGGAGGGGGAGGCCGGGTCGCGCTTAGGGTCTGGAGCTTTTCGGCTGCCGCAGCCTTTGTCGGGCTTCAAAAGGGCTTGTGTCCGACCCCAAACCTCTTCTGGGCTTCTGCAGAACAGGCCCCCTAAACCCTAGCACTCCCCTTGCCAAAGTGCTTCCTAACAATGGAGTTGTGTGCTCGGTCTTTTCGCGCCTTTTTGGCGAAAGGGCCCCAAAAGACCGGCCCGACACTGCTTAGGGTTTTAGTGCTTTAGGGCTTAGGATGTAAGGCTTAATTAGGGTTTAGGGTTTAGGCTTAGGGTTTAAGGATTAGATAGGGTTTAGGGTTTAGGGTTTAGGCTTAGGGCTTAGGGTTTAATTCGGGTTGAGGGTTCGAGGGAAATCTCTCCTTGACCTTGGTGGTTGGCATCACATCGAAGACCTCGGAAGAACAAGCTCATGAAGCAGCGTACTGCAGCCTAATCCCTGAACCCTTGAACCGTTGAACCCTTGAACCCCCGAACCCTTGAAACCCTAAACCCTTAACCCTAAACCCTAAACCCTAAACCCTAAACCCTTTAACTTTAAACCCCAAAACCCTCAACCCCTACCATCCAAAGTTCACGGGCTCCAGGCCGCAAAGGGCCTGGGTTCCGAGGGCGCGGTAGGGTTTGGGGCGTCTATGGACCTGGGTATAGGATTCAGGGTTTAGGAGTTAGGGCTTAGGGCTTAGGGTTTAGGGTTTAGGGTTCGGGGTTAGGTTTTCGGTTTAGGGTTTGGGCGTCTAGGGAGCTGGGTTTGCTACAGGGTTTACGGGGTTTGGGGTCTGGGAGGAGGTTTCCCCCATCCGGATCAAATACCCCATGCGGCGGTTCACTCCTAATCGAAGTGGTTTAGTTAAGGTTCAGGGTTTGGGATAATCTAGGTCTGGGCGCCTTAGGCTCGCTGAAAATAATCCCCTAAGCATGATCCTCTTAAACCAAAGGTAGGGAAAATACTCAAATACCCCTTCCCAGTAGTCCCCTGAGTCCCGAAACCCTAAACGCCACACCCAAAACCCTAATCCCTAAACCCTCAACCCTAAACCCTAAACCCTAAACCCTAAACCCTAAACCCTAAACCCTAAACCCTAAACCCTCCCTAAACCCTACACCCCTAAACCCCCGGAAACCCCCAAGACAAAGCCTAGGTCCCCGAAGCCATCAACCCTGAAAAGGGCAACCCTTAATCTTATTCCCCTATAGAACCCATATAAATACCTTCAAGTGCCCTTATCAGTAAAACCCTAAACCCTAAACCCTAAACCCTAAACCCTAAACCCTAAACCCTAAACCCTTAAACCCTAAGGTCTCTTGTAAGGGTCCCTCCTCTTAGTCCCTTGAAACTTCCAATCCGAGACATCGGCCAGCGTCTGCTCCTGATAGCTCATGAGACCTTCAGCGCAGGGTTGAGGGTTTAGGGTTCTAGAGTTTTAGGGTTTAGGGTTTAGGGTTTTAGGGTTTAGGGTTTAGAGTTTAGGGATTGGGGGTTTAGGGTTTAGGGTTCTAGAGTTTTGGGGTTTAGGGTTTAGGGTTTAGGGCTACCGCAAGCCCCTCAAACCCTGAACAGCCTCACAGATAATCTCAGGTGCTGAAGGTGATGGGGCTGTCGGGGCATTGAGGATAGAGGGGACCCCCGAAACCCGAAGTGATGTGAAACCATGCTCGTCGTAGTTAGAAGAATACTAAGGATGATGACACAACAACCGCCACGAAAATGAGCCAAATTCAAAAAAAAAGGCTTAAAACAATGCAATGATCATTATCGCAAGTTCCCTATCCCTAAACCCTAAACCCTAAACCCTAAACCCTAAACCCTAAACCCTAAACCCTAAACCCTAAACCCTAAACCCTAAACCCTAAACCCTAACCCTAAACCCTAACCCCTAAACCCTGGAAAACAAAAGGCACACGTCCAGTCAAGCGGCGTCCCTTGTCCCACTCGGACGTGTCGCGCCTTCAGCTGGCTTGGGGCAGAGGCTTGGGGTTCAGCATTGAGAGTGTAGGGTTTGGGGTGTAGGGTTTGGGGCTTGGGGTTTGGGATTTGGGGATTAGGGTTTGGGGTTTAGGGTTGTGGGGTTTAGGGTGTGGGGTTTAGGGGTGTGGGGTTTAGGGTTTGGGGTTTGGGGTCTAGGGTTTGGGGTTTAGAGTGTAGGTCTTAGGGAGACGTCGGCTCTGCTTTGCCCAAACACCGCGTAGGGTTTAGGGATTTGGAGTGGGGTCTCGGGGGCTGAGGGGTGAGACTCTTGGAGTTCTTGGGGCTACCGAAGCCCATAACCCGAAACCCTGAACACCAAACAGGTTTAGGGTTTAGGGTTTAGGGCTTAGGGTTTAGGGTTTAGGGTTTAGGGTTTGGGGTTTGGGGTTTAGGGTTTAGGGTTTAGAGTCGGGCCAGGGCTTAGGGTTTTTGGAGAATTTGGAGATGAGGGTCGTGTTAACTTAAGGTGCCACCCCCAATCAGGGGGCACCTACAGGTGGACTGCCTCAAGGCCTGCACAAACCCCAAACGGTGTGGGGCGTAGGGCCCAGCCCCTAAACCCTAAACCTAAACCCTAAACCCTAAACCTAAACCCTGAACCCTAAATCCTCAACCCTAAACCCTCAACCCTAAACCCTAACCCTAAACCCTAAACCCTAAACCCTAAACCCTAAACCTCAAACCCTTGCGCGAAGCCGAGGCTTCGGGCATTGGCTTCACCGAGACGTGGATCTCGAAGCCCTTGACTTGCGGCTTAACCTCGTGGTAGGTTTGGGCTCAGAGATCGCTAGATAGGGTTTAAGAAGGGCTTAGTTGAGGGTTTAGGGTTTCGGGTTTAGGGTGACTTGCGGCTTAACCTCGTGGAAGGTTTGGGCTTGCTTCTTTCTTAGGGCCCAGATGTCGCCAATATGGGGTTTGAGAAGGGGTAGGGTTTAGGGTTTAGGGTTTAGGGTTTAGGGTTTAGGGTTTAGGGTTTAGGGTTTAGGGTTTAGGGTTTAGGGTTTAGGGTTTAGGGTTTAGGGTTTCGGGTTTCGGGTTTAGGGTTTCGGGTCCGCCGATTCTGGCGTTCCCTCCTTACCCCCAAAACGCAATACGCGGAGGGGCAGGGGGGGGGGGCGGGTAGGGGGGGGTAACCCGGCAGCTTTTCCGTGGAGGAACAGGCCACCCACACCGCCTAAACTCATGGACCATAGGCGGTTTCGCACAGGGCATAGGCGGTTTCGCACAGGGCATAGGGCTTTTTTGGAAAAAAAAAAAAACCCTCCCCGCCTTAATTAACCCCCCCTACCCACACCCCCCTTACCCCCCCCCCCTACCCCCCCCCCCCACCCGCCCCCAGTGCGAAGGACCGCCCAGGCAGCTTCTCGCCAGGCTCCCAAACCCCCACCCAGACCCGAACCGCAAACCCAACCCACCAAACCCCAAACCTTAAACTTGTTCTCCTGCGGGGTCGGCGGCTTGAGCCGAGGCTCTTAAATTTTAACTAGGGTGGTTCAGGCTCAGGGATGCAAGCTTCTGCGGAGTCTAGAGTGCTGGGGAGGTTGTATCGGGGTTTGGGAGGGGTTAAGCTAGGGATTTCTCAATTCACGGCTAAGTGCTCCTCAGACCCTTCCGGGAACTCTTGCTGCAAGCAAATATGCAACGCAGACTTTTTCACTTCATGGACCTTGTTTGTTGGTATGCTTAAGAGCAGAGCACACCAATACCATTCGGTATGTGGCGACCCTCAAATCTCTGCCAACGCGCGCTTGGCTCCTTGAGAGCAGTAGCTCTCCTCCCGGGGTGGGAGGGTGCGCAGCGGGGCCAAAATAATTCGAGACATTCCACTTCGTCGACTCCGCACATGAAAGAGAAACGTGGTTGCATGCAAACTCTCTATTCTCAATTCACGGCTAAGTGCTCCTCAGACCCTTCCGGGAACTCTTGCTGCAAGCAAATATGCAACGCAGACTTTTTCACTTCATGGACCTTGTTTGTTGGTATGCTTAAGAGCAGAGCACACCAATACCATTCGGTATGTGGCGACCCTCAAATCTCTGCCAACGCGCGCTTGGCTCCTTGAGAGCAGTAGCTCTCCTCCCGCTCATCCTCCAACTCGAAAGGGTACATCATTCAGACTTTGAATGCTCTGAAGACCCACGACTCCAAGAGTGTAAATGAGGCTTGTGTCACTCCCTTTTGCGATCCGAGAGAGATTTCCGCCCCTTGGAGGGCCGCCTGCAGATGCCATATACACGGAGTCAATGAACACCAGCGGCCCCACTTGGTTTGAGTCTCTATGGAGGTTTTTTCTTGAGCTCGAAGGACAGCAACCTCGCCCTTTCGGATATACTCACGCGCCGACCGATCTGAGAGCCAGCGCCCAAACATCATAATGTCAGCGATCGGTACTCCGCGTCTAGCTAATTCGCTGGCCCCTGATCTCCGAAATGAATGCGTGGTAAGTTGAACGTGGCCAGCACCTAGGAGGGCGGCCACTTTCTTGACCCAGCGCAAGACGGACGAGTATGAGCGATGGAAAAGGTTTTCTCCCCAGTTCAACTGTTGGGAGAACTTGTAGTATTGGACAACCCAGGTCAACACCATCGGATTGGTGATGACCACCTTTTGTTCCATCCCCCGCTTGGTTTGAGCGAGGCACAGCGTGAGCACACCTGACGAGAAAAAGACATCTTTCCACCGTAGCCGTAGGCTTTCGCCCACGCGCAGCAGGCCCGAAAAGCATAAGCAGACAATGAGACCCAAATCTACCTTGCCCAGAGCGACGAACACCACCATCATCGCAGAAATAAGCTCTGGCGGAGCCGCTGCTGCCTGCTGCGGCGGTTGCAGAGTGCCCCAAATATCAAACACCTTCCATGCCGTGGTGTACCGCGCCCGTGGGTTCATCCGGCGAAGGGCGCATGGCAGGCAGCCATATTCGGCCCTACCGAGGCCTTGCTCATAGCCGTCCACAAGCCACTCAGCCAAAATGATGTCTTGTTCCTCCTCGGATGCATCATCCCACGCTATACCATTGAGTTGCAGCTCCCTATGCAGATGTTGCCATGCTTGATCATAGCGAGCTTTTGTCGCATCTCTTAATGCACTCAGCAAGAAAGCCTCGACACGGCTCCGGCCATTGCCAAAGCGTGCGCCCCACGCCACACCAAGGCTCGACACCATCACCACCATGACCAACCAACAACGGCTTACATGGCTGCTGAAAGCCATTTGCCCGAGCTTGGATTGCTTTCTCAACGAAGAGCTGAGCCAACCTCACGTTCACTGCTGATGGACAAGCCACCTCCAAACGGGACCTTGGATATCCGGCTTGGGCCTGAACAGACGGTTTTGAGCCTGACGGTAACAGAAAACCTGTGGGTTGACCGTTATGACCCGGTAGCAGGTCTTCTGCGGAATAGTACTCAAGATGGGCGATGGCAATGAGCATCTGTGCTTCTGATGACTGGAATACTGAAGGAGCTGATGTCCTGGCGCGATGTTTAAAGGCTACCCAACCTCCGCAAAGCCGCACTTCGCCAATCAACCCTATACACAACAGGGCCAGCGTTGACTCAAGGGTCACTTCACGCTGACGGCGTCTCGAGCAGCCATGGGAGCATCTCCACACATCCCTCTTTTTACGTACCACAGAGAAAGATCGCTCTTCATCCGCTGTGACACGGAGGACATTGGAGAAAGTTCGGTCCGGCGGAGATGCATAAGCCCCAAGGACCCGACCACTGTGTATCAAGTCCAAAACTGTTTGCACGTGCTTGCCAGTGACTAAATCGCTGCCAATCAAACACCGTTCGCATTGATCGTAAGAGGCCGCCGGGCCAACCCGCAAGCCAAGCACACTCAGCCCTTGCTCAGTTGTCAAGGCGCATATCGCCGAAATGAGGTCACCCTTCCGCGGAACGCCTGAACAGAGATGCAAAAAGAAACGCTCATTCCCTGACCAGTTCTGCGGTGTGAAAGGGTCAGCGTGCAGTTGTTGAAGCGCCTGCGGCTCAGGGCGGTAGTCTTCACCTCTTCCACCTTCGAATCGGCGTGAGGGTTCATCAGCAGGGTTCTCAGCTGAAGCAATCCAGGGATAGAATACCTCGTGACCCCCCGCCACTGCAACCGCACATAGCTTTCTGCACCTCTCATTCAACAACTTGCTGGCCGACCTTCCCTTGGAAAAAGCTCCAACACAACAAGCGCTGTCAAGAGGATGCGCGAAGCGCCCTCCGTCGTCTACAGGCCTACGCAGGCGGTCTTCCGCTACCCACACCGCTGCATCCGCCTCCCCGAGGTAGATGTAAAGCGGTCTGTACGGCGCTCCAACCTTATGCCAGAACACATCGCTGGGCAATGCAAGCTTTGCCAAGGGACATGTCTGCGTTTCCTGTAATCCGATCCCGTGTGGCAACGCAAGATTGGTGTACGTTCCGGGATGGTCGCAAAGCTGAGCCATCGACTGCACCACTTCGGAAGGAACGCATGTCCACGCCCGTCCAATGCCTGTCATGCTGGAGTCGCTGCACTCCACTCTATTGCTGTATGGCGATGACACATCGAACTGGCAATACGGCAAAAGCAGCGCGGCATACATACACTCCAACCACACTGCATCCGGTAGGATCGCGAACCGGGCCTTGCTGGCCCTCATCTGCTCCAGCCACCTGTACGTGTCAGCAAATATGGAACGCATCGGAGGTCTGCACGAATGTACGTAACCATACTTGCCCACCCAACGCTCCATGTCACTGACCAACACCCTCTGTAGCGAAAGCAAATAGAATGTGGCTTGAAAAAGTTTCATGCGCTTCTGCACGCTTACCCCGAGCCAATGCTTTGTAGGATGGACAAAGTACCCTTGCACCTCTGCACCCTCTGCTGCATCAATGCTCTTCTTGGTGTTGGGATGCACACCGCGATCAACCCAGGCCTGCTCAGCACGAGAGAGCCATCCAGGACCATGTAGATCACGCTGATCGTCCCCCTGGGCATGGTCAATCGCCCAGATGTCATCGTAAATGGAACCCCATAACGGAAAGTCCCCCGGCGCGCACTCATCCGGATGCAGCCGCCTCTCCCTAGGCATGTCTGCGGCTGACGTGGTTACATCCGTCAGTGCCTGAGCCCATCCTGCACTGGGCCCAAACCCCATAGGAGCTGTGCAGCAAGCTGGAAATCTAAGTTTCCCACCCGACATGAAGATAGGTGGCCCGCATAGCCACCGATGCCATTTCCTGCCGATCTTCAAGGAATGAAAATAGTGCCTGGCATCCCGTTTGCTCACCACCAATACACCGCCCCGAGGAGCGTAGGTAACTCTCAACTTGGGGATGTATGCAAATTTGGGTCGAGGGAGCTCATCTGGGTCAACTAGCTGGTTAACGGAGGGATCTGTGATCACCCGGTCCTCGTCAGCATCCTTCGGGACTGCGAAAGCGCCCGCCAAGCACAATCGCCCGCGATGCCTCGCCACCTGCGATGGCTTCTTCAAAATGTGTAGGCCGGCCTTCACGTTTCGCACCACCAAGGCCGGATAAGAACCATGTAGCCACACGTGGCCGCGCTTGATTCTCTTTGGCCTCCGCCCCGACGGCAACAAGAGCGCTGTCGGCTCATTGACGTGATGCGACATCTTAGGATATTGATCCCTGAGTTCCTTACGCAAGTCGACCGTGGCGGCATTGGCTGGCACTCCGCCTCTGTCGCCAAGTGGAATGGCGGTCCCGCCACCAGCATAGTGCTGTTGGTGTTTCAAAAACTGGCGAAGCTCGTCATCCTCCACCGTGGTGGCCTCCACCATCATGGAAGACCACCCTGACTCCAAGCGAGCCTGGATACGCCGATGGGCTGCAGTGAGAAAACGCGGAGTTTCCTGCTTGCTCCCAAACAACATGTTTAGCACGGCTTGCGCCAGGTTGACCCCACGCGCGAGCACGCAAGTGCTGTCCTCCACCATGGAACCCATGGTATAGCGCTGCGCCCTCCCATCTGTACAAAACGGGGGCAATGGAAAAACACGTGGTAAGCTGCATCCACGAGAGAGATCACTAGGAAAACTGTCACTGAATTCTGGTCTCTGCTTCATGCGGGATTGTCCCCTGCCCAGTTGCCAGAGTGTCCTCCCAAAGGAGAAGACTGAATGAGTGAGCGAACACTGCCTCCACGGAAGCAAAGATCATGCAGAGGTAGCCCTGACACCCAGAAGGACGGCCATTCGCCTTCCTCCAACTCGTCAGGGCCTGCCCAAGTCGCCGAGCTAGTTGGTAAGGGCCAGCATGGAGCTGCTGGCAAGGGAAGTTCCCGACGGTATGAGTTCGATGGCCTCGGCCTTCTCCCAGCTTCCGCCTTTCCGCTTCGCGCACTGGATCGCCAAGATTCTCTGAGCCAGGATGTCCATTGCTCTCGAGATCTCCTTTCGATTGATGCTGTCCATCGCCTCGGATAATGTCAGCACTTCTCGCACATCCCGGATTTCCGTCAACCCGGAGTGTTGGCTTGCCCAAGCCACTACGTTGGCTTCGCGCAACTGGCTGCTTTTGGTCAGCCTGCCCTTCGAGAGCCGAGCGAAAATCGAGGCTAGAAAGTGCGCCGAGAGCGCACCTGGGTGTTTCGACGCATAAGCCATCAACTCTCCCTTCCTCTTGAACTTTTGTGCATCTAGGGAATGGACATCTTCGTAATCCACGGCCCTGGTCTTCCCCTTGTAAGCCGCAGGGGTGCATCTGAATCGCTGCTTCCGCTCCCACTGCTGCTGCTGCTGCTGCTGCGACTGGACCTCGAGCGGCTTGTGTCTGAACTCGATCCTTTCTTCTTTTTCGACTTTTTCTTCGCCTTCTTCTTCTTCTTCTTCGACTTTGTCTTGTCTTTCTTGTGCTCTTTGGTTTTCGTCTTGGCCATGTCCTTCAGCTCCTGGATGACATTTGAAAGTGATTCCAGATTGAGAGGCTCTGTGCGTGCTGCGCTCCCCGCAACTGGACCCAGACCCCCTGCATCCACGGGGGGCGCCCGCGCCAAAGGCCCTGCGCCTCCTGCGCCTAGACCTTGGGACAAGTCCACCGGCATCAAGTTCATGCCAGTTCCTGGAGTCATGACCATTGCCTCTCGCGCCGGGCTTTGAGCCAACTGCAGCCCTAGCAACTGCGCTTCTTGCTTCAGCGCAGCCCCCTCGGCGGCAGTCGGCGCCCACTTCCTGTCGAGACGTTCTGGCGCACAGATCCAGTTGATGAGCCCATTTGCGAGCCGACCTGGAGCTGTCCTGTTTCCATCCGCGCCTTGAGGCACCTTCATTGAAGCGACGTTGCATCGTACTAGCGACCATTGCCAGTCGCTTCCGTCTCCTGTCGTGGTACGAACAATCAGCTCAGAAGATCCCGGCACTACGCCCGCTATCCAAACTTCGTCCCACTCACCGGATCTCTCGAGAAGCGCGAACCCCTCCAGATTCACTGCCGGATTGGCCATGGGCTGACAGGTTAGTCGTTGAAGATGATCTGCTTCACCTGTGATCTGTAAGGCAACCGGTGGGCGCGTCTGCTCCCGTGATCCGGGAATCCACTCAGAGCAATAGCGGATTACACGTAGAATAACACAAGCTATAGCCAGAAATGCCCGCAAGAGCTCAATCAATCAACTCAGCGCGCAGCTCGAAAATGAGATAGGCACTGATGAGATAGTAGCTGAAATATGACACTTGTGGCACAACTTGCACCAGGCTCCACGGAACAGATGCTCCTGCTCGAAGCACTACTGCTGAGGCAACCTCTGCAGCGACCTGACGAGCCAGATAACGTGCCACGCTGAAGACAGAGATCCCACTGCCAATCGCTATTGCGTTCCGAACTGACACAAGGCTCATTTCCACTTGAGCCAAAATAATTCGAGACATTCCACTTCGTCGACTCCGCACATGAAAGAGAAACGTGGTTGCATGCAAACTCTCTATTGAGGTTTAGGGGGCTAGGGTTTATGGGTTTAGGGTTTAGGGATTTGATGCTTGGGGGGATAGGGTTTATGGGTTTAGGGCTTGAAAACGACTCTGAGCCCGAATTACACCTTAGGACCAGATCTGGAGGCTACAACTTGCTAGCCTGCCAAAGGACAACTCAAGCTTGAGAGGTCTTCCGGTTCACCCTAAACCCTAAACCCTAAACCCTAAACCCCAAACCCCAAACCCCAAACCCTAAACCCTAAACCCTAAACCCAGAGGGTTCAGTGCTAAGGGTGCAGGAGCTTTGCAAAACCAGGCCGGAAAGCCGCGAAACTCTGGCTTTAGGCATTGTGCAGCAAGGACAATTCAAGCGGCCCAGGGTGCCCACAAGAGATAGGACGAGTGAGTCAAAAGCCCAAAACCCACGAAGTAAGGGCAAACGATTTGGGGAGCTGCACTCAACCCAAAACCCAAAACCCAAAACCCTAAACCCTAAACACTAAACCCTAAACCCTAAACCCCAAACCCTAAACCGTAAACCCTAAACCCTGAACCTAATTCTGCAAAGGCTTTGCGATGCGAGGCCGACGGCAACTTAAGCGCCTGGCCAAAAAGAAAACCCAAGAATCGCCCCCTTAGGGTTTAGGGTTTAGGGTTTAGGGTTGAGGGTTTAGGGTTTAGGGTTTAGGGCCAAAAAGCATACCCTCATCCCTCCTGGCCCCCCGAAACGGCCCCCTCAACTCCAAACCCTATACCCGAAACCTTCCTCAACCCCCCCCCCCTCCGCCCCCCACCCAGATCCCTAAGAATCGAAGGCCTGAACCCTAAACCCTAAACCCTAAACGCCAAAACCCTGAGAATCTGAGGCAAGCTCGACAAATCTGGGAGGCCAGTCGTCAAGACCCGAGCCCATCCAGTCCTGCGCTGAATCACTGAAGAACGGACAGGGTCGGCAAGGGTTGAGGGTTTAGGGTTTAGGGTTTGGGGTTTAGGGTTAGGGGTTTAGGGTTTAGGGTTTAGGGTTTAGGGCTTGGGGTTTAGGATTTCGAGTTTAGGATTTGGGGGTCGTGGGGCTTTGGGGCGCAGGGATGACTTCTGAAATCACGGAAGAGCTTTGGCGAAGGGTGTGCGTGACCAGTTCTCCAGATCACCCGAAGTATGGTTTAAAGCACTAAACCCTAAACCCTAAACCCTAAACCCTAAACCCTAAACCCTGAACCCTGAACCCTAAACCCGGGTTTAGGGGTTGGGGACTCCCCGGTCCATGTAGCACTCATGGATAGCCACGTTATCCGTCAAGCTGGTCTCCGCTGCGAAGAGGTTGATATCCTGCGCAAGGGCTTAGGGTCTCAGGGTTTAGGGTTTAGGGTTCAGGGTTTAGGGTCTCAGGGTTTAGGGTTTAGGGTTTAGGGTTCAGGGTTTGGGGTTCAGGGTTTAGGGTTTAGGGTTTAGGGTTCAGGGTTTGGGGTTCAGGGTTTGGGGGTCTTAGGGTCCAAAGGGTCCTAGGGTTCAAGGCTGAGGGGCTCGGGGTCCAAGTCTAGGGGTCTTAGGGTCTTAGGGTCTTAGGGTCTTAGGGTCTTAGAGTCTAGGGTCTAGGGTCTAGGGTCTAGGGTCTAGGGTTTAGGGTTTAGGGTTTAGGGTTTAGGGTTTAGGGTTTAGGGTTTAGGGTTTAGGGTTTAGGGTTTAGCCTTAGGGTCTGAGGGGTCTGCGAACCTAAGGATCGCGGATCGCAGGGTCTTCGAGTCTAATTGAAATGGGGTCCAACCCTTGTCCCTCCACCCTACATCCTAAACGCAAGGATGAACAGGATCTTGACACATGCTGAACCCTAAGGGTTTAGGCCTTAGGGTTGCGACCCCACTCAAACCTTGAACCCTTGAACGTATCTTGACTGATCTTCGGTTCGAGGATCTGGGGATTCCGCTTAGGATCTGCTTAGGCTGTTTAGGGCTGGACGATTTGGGGCTCAGGTGTCGGGTTTAGGGTTTAGGGCTTACGCTTCCCCCCCTCCCAAACCCCAAAGCCTGAAGCCTAAAGCCTAAACCCTAAACCCTAAACCCTAAACCCTAAAGCAAGCACCACACCGCAACCCCAACCCTGGGCTCCGGGCCTCTAGAGGCATGTCCTCCATCGAGGCGATCTTCTTCCTAAGTTCGAGGATCGTCGCCTGCCCGGACCTCGGGGTTTAGGGTTTGGGGTTTGGGTTTTGGGGTTTGGGGTTTAGGGTTTAGGGTTAAGGGTTTAGGGGAATGAAACGCCGCTGAGGCTTACGCGAGTGTAGGTTTTCAACGCGCGGTTCGGTGATCCGCGTCTTCTTGGGCAGCCGCAAACCACAAGGAATGCACGGATTGCATATGCTCAGCCTTTTGTAAGACCTCACCGCCAGCTTCACAGCCCCATCAACAGCCCTTGAAGCCCATACCCAGAAGATTCGCTGGCTGTTTCGTCAACATCCGACGTTATGACTTAAGTAACCTCCTGTTTATGGTTTAAAGTAAGGATCTAAGGGTCTAATGGTCTCAGGGTCTCTGGACTTTTGTTTAGGGGCTATCGCATTTTGCAATTCAGTCTTGAGCTAGGGATGTACCGAGTTCTTCAAACTCTGCGAAAACCCATCCTGAAAGCACAAGCCAGTTCAGAGTGCCCCGGAAAACCCTAAACCCTAAACAAAAAACCCTCAACCCCAAACCCTAAACCCTCAACCCTAAAACCCTAGGCCGCATTCGAGTCTAGGGCCTAGGGCGTTGGCATAGGGGCTTTTCTGCATCTACCCCCTGGGCCCTCCGAAGCCCGTGAAGCCCGCAGCACTGAAACACTTGCGAGCCCCAGACTCCGAACCGTGAGGGTTTGGGGTTTAGGGTTTAGGGTTTAGGGTTTAGGGTTTAGGGGTTAGGGTTTAGGGTTTAGGGTTTAGGGTTCAGAAAAAAGCCCCAGTCCAATCCCCAATCTCGGCCGCCCCACATACCCGGGACCTCGATGGCCTGTTGGCTCGAGCTTCTTGGGTCTGGGGAGCTACTTTAGAGTTTAGGGTTTAGGGTTTAGGGTTTAGGGTTTAGGGATAGGATTAGGGGGACCCTTGGGGACATAGACCCTCTGAATAAAGTCCCTGTTTAAGAGAGCCAGAAGAGGGTTAAGAAGGGGGTTCCCTTTTAAGGGTCCCCCTTATCCTACCTAGGAGCTACTGCGCATTCGATGGCTGTGGATTGAGGGTTGATATACCAGGGTGCATTCGAGGACCCCCTAAACCTCGAAACCTTTGTTACACTAATACCTTAACGGCCTTCACGTAGCCCCTAAAAACACCCCAATAAGAACCCCGAATATCATGCTCCTATGAAACAGAAACCCTACTCAAAGAGACCACCGACCAACCAATACAATGCAAACCTTGAAGCCGGGCGCGGGCTTAGGGCTAAAGGCTTAGGGCTTAGGGCAGTAAAAGCTTCGGGCGCTCATGCAGGGTTCAGAAACAGCCCAAAGAATTGGCCTAGCCTATCCGAAAGTAAAGTCCAGGGTTTCGGGTTCAGGGTTACCAGCCGGGGACTTGGGGACTCTTGTTCAAAGCTTCCGCATACATGTTCAGAAGCCCACTCATTCAAATGCTCGCGCGATCCGGCCGGTGATCCCCAGATCCATGCTTTGTCGCATGGCATGGGAATGTCTGCGAGACTGCATTCACAGGCTCTCGAACTGCTCTCCTGGTCGACCTTGTCTTGTTCACATTGGAAGCATCAGAGACCCTAAGCCCGAAGCCGAAATAGCCTAAACCCTACATCCGAAACCCTGAATACCCAAGTACTGTACCTTAAATACTCAAAAGACCGTAAAGACCGTAAATACCCTAAGTACCCTAAAATACCACGAAGACCCTACATGCCCTAAATACCCTGAATACCCTAAATACCCAGAATGACCTGAATCATGGCCAAACCCGAAGCAAACCGCACATCTGCCACTAAACCCTAACTACCCGAAACACCCTAAATACCCTAAATGCCCAAATACCCTCAAAAACACTACTAAATACCCTCAATACCCTCAATAACCTAACTGCCCTCAATACCCTGAATGCCCTCAGCACCTTTAAAATAATAATAATAAGAAGAAATACCCTAAATACCCAAACTGTCCTAAATACCCTAAATACGCTACATACCCCAAAAAAAACCTAAATGCCGTAAATGCCCTACATGCCCTAAATACCCTAAATGCCCGGAATACCTAAATGCCCTTAATCCCCTAAATACCCTATATACCCTATACACCCGAAATTTCCCAAAATACTCAAAATACACTAAAATACCCTAAATGCCCTAACTCCCATAAATACCCTAAATATTCTACATGCCCTAAATGCCCTAAGTACCCTAAATACCCTAAATACCCTAAACCCTGAATAACCGAAACGGCTTAAACCGTCCTTCGGGTACTGCGACTTGCCGTCAATGGTGCGATCAGCGCCGGCCTGGGGGAGCTCTTTGGGAAAACATTAGGGTTTAGGGTTTAGGGTTTAGGGTTTAGGGTTTAGGGTTTAGGACCCCTAGATGCCCTTAAACTATGAGAAGGGTCCAGGCCACAGGCCTCTTCAGGGGGAGCCGGACATGCAATCAATAACTATAAGGACCTAAACCCTAAACCCTAAACCCTAGACCCTAGACCCCAAACCCTAAACCCTACACCAGGCAAGCTCGGGAGTCCAAAGCACCAAACCACTCCGACCTCTAAATGTGGCATGAAGACGAACCGGTAACAACCAAGATGCACCATGTGCAACGCTGCTCTTGGGCTTGGCAATAGCCACAAGGTCTAGGGTTTAGGGTTTAGGGCTTTGGGTTTAGGGTTTAGGGCTTGGCGAGGGAGATGCATAGCAGCACGGTCCCTTGTGTTTGTACGGCAACGATCTTGTGTTCTGCCTGTGTGAATTCCAGCTTCTTTGAAAGTTTTCCTAAAGACCCACAACCCCCCTAAACCCTAAACCCTAAACTCTAAACCCTAAACCCTAAACCCTAAACCCTAAACCCTAAACCCTAAACCCTGAACCCTAAACCCTAAACCCTAAACTCAGCTGCCCCCAAAGCCTGCTCCGTCCGACCGAAATCCCCAGCCTTTGAGGGCAAAATGCATCATAAGGTGGCTTCGGCCGGTTGGGGACTTTTAGAGCTCCGACCCTAACTTAGAGAACTACCCATATAGACCTGGAGGTGGGCCAGGGGTTTAGGGTTTAGGGTTTAGGGTTTAGGGTTTAGGGTTTAGGGTTTAGGGTTTAGGGTTTAGGGCTCAGAATTGTTGAAGGGCCCCTACCGAGCGAGTACGGCTTCACAAGACGCGACGGGAAAAAAACTACGAACTCCACCATGGAACCAAGAAAAGCACATCCAACCACTAGACCCCTAAACCCTAAACCCCAAACCCCGAACCCTAAACCCCAAACCCTAAACCCCAAACCCTAAACCCTAAACCGCAATGGCCCACCTCCAGGAATCGCACACGAATACCTTTGATGAGCTCGGCTTCCTGCGTTCGCATCATCTTCGTTTAGGGTTTAGGGTTTGGGGTTTGGGGTTTGGGGTTTGGGGTTTGGGGTCTGGGGTTTGGGGCTTGGGGGTTTGGGGGTTGGGGGGTTTGGGGCTTGGGAGTTTGGGGCTTGGGGTTTGGAAGGTAGGGTTCAGGGTGTAGAGGGTATGGGGTTTAGGATTTGGGGTGTAGGGTTTAAGTTTAGGGCTAGTTACCCTAAACCCTAAACCTTTAACCCTAAACCCTAATCCCTAACCCTAAACCCTAAACCCTAACCCCTAAACCCTAACAACACGGGTTTAGGGCCTGTTTGGGAACCGAAAGGGCGGTCCTTGGCGGCCTCTATCTGCCTCGAATCCACGTCCAGCATCTTCTCTGGAAGGAGCTTGGGATCCTACGAGAGCACAAGCACGCTAAACCCTAAACCCTGAACCCTGAACCCTAAACCCGAAACCCGAAACCCTCAACGTTAGGGTTTTGGGGTCTTCTGGGGTCTGGGATCAAGGGCTCGGCGTTTGCTTGTGGTTGAGAGTCATTCGGGTCAATGGGCGGAGACGTGTTTAAGATGTTTGGGTTGGGGGTCTTCCTTCCAGGGAAAATAGTACGAAGAGGCCAGCGATGGCCAAGAACACTGGAGATCAGACTCTGGAAAGAGGGGTTTGGGGGGCGGAAGAAAGTTCGATTTTCATGTCGAAACCCTAAACCCTATACAAACCCTAAACCCTAAACCCTAAACCTCGAATTCCGAGATCCAAAACGCCTTCCGAAGCCCTAGGTCCTTCGGCGTCATGAAGTGCTGGGGCTCCTGTTGCTTATAGTTTGGGCTTCTTGCAGGCATCTAGAGTTTCGTTGGGGTTTGGGGGTTAGGGTTGAGGGTTGAGGGTTGAGGGTTGAGGGTTGAGGGTTGAGGGTTGAGGGTTGAGGGTTTAGGGTTTAGGGTTTAGGGTTTAGGGTTTAGGGTTTAGGGTTTAGGGTTTAGGGTTTAGGGTTTAGGCTGCGTGCCAAGCTCCCCGTCAAAGGTAGTTGGAAGCCTGCGGGGCTCTTCGACAACTAAGCCGAGGTCCATGCATCACAGTTGGGGCACTAAGTGGCTTTAGAGTTTAGGGTTTAGGGTTTAGGGATTAGGGTTTAGGGTTTAGGGCTAAGTGCTGGATTGTTGGAGGGCATCGTGCAGCACGCCACAAGCAATTCAGTCACCGCAGATTTGACTGTCTACACCCTAAGCCTTGAACCCGAAACCTGAAGCCCTTCATATCATGGCACTTAGGGTTGAGGGGTTGAGGGTTGAGGGTTTTTCATTTAAGGGTTTGGGGTTTTGGGTCCAGGGGATTAGAAGGAGCCAGCAACCCAGCAGCGGCAAATGGCAAACAATCTGATCTAAAGAGAACCTTACCCACAAACTTTGAACCACCGAGCAGCCTGAGCTATTCTAAAACACACCACCACCACCGCCAGCAGCAGCAGCAGCAGCAGCAGCAGCAGCAGCAGCAGCAGCAGCAGCAGCAGCAGCAGCAGCAGCAGCACCAGCACCAGCACCCGCACCCGCACCAGCTCCCGCACTACCACCACAGGGCTTGGGTTGTCCAATCGACTCTGAGAGGGGTTTCGAATAGAGATGTTCGTATGATAGTGTCACGCTCGAGGAACAAACTTGCTGCGGACGCAGGATTAGTAAACCCCAAACCTGGAACTTCTAAACCCTGCTCCTCATTAACCTCAAAACCCTTAACCACATACCCAAACCTGCAGGCTTCCCCACATAGTTCATTTTGGTTGGCCTAGGGCTACGCAATGCAAACCCTAAACCCTAAACCCTCAACCCTCAACCCTCAACCCTCAGCCCTCCATACATCGTAGAAACCAAGCCGTGCCTTGAACTTCTGCAGAAGCGCCTTCTGAGCCTGCCAACGAGAGGGCCGAGAGTCGATTTTGGGAGCCCAAGAGCAAGATTCTTGCAAGGGTTTAGGGTTTAGGGTTTAGGGTTTGGGGCTTAGGGTTTCGGGTTTAGGGCTTAGGGCTTGGGGCTGAGGGTTTAGGGTTTAGGGTTTAAGGCTTAGGGTTTAGGGTAGGGTTTAAGGGCTTGGGAGGGTCGAAATCCACGGTAGCTGAAAAGGAGGTGAACAGTAGTGTACATGCCTCTAGGTAAGGGGTGGGTTCCCAAGATAGGCTTTGGAGATGAGGCAGAGGGGGGGTTGAAGTTTAGGGCTTCATAAGGTTTAGGTCATAGGTCTTCCAAAAATTCGGATCTCTGGGATTACAGGGTCTCTGGTTGGAGCTTTACTCCTCCTAAACCCTACACCTTGAAATGTTCCCCTCTATACTAACAGTGCATAATAGGGATTACAATCCGGGGCTACTATAATCCCCATGAAGGACTGTTAGCATATAAGAGGGAACATCCCAACCTGCACCCTATACACGAAGACCTAAACTCAATAAGCTTGAGAGCTGAGAATGAGCTCGAAGGTTGAAGGCCTGCACGCGTAAACACACGGGCCTCAGGGGTTTTAGGGTTTGGGGTTTAGGGTTTTAGGGTTTTGTGGTTCAGGGTTTAGGGTTTAGGGATTTTTAAGGTTTAGGGTTTAGGATCCCAAGCCCACCCGCCCCGATGTGTGGGGACTTCAGCAAGAACCTACAATTCTACAGAAGGGGCTGCGCTTTCAACCAAACGATCTTTACGAATCGGTTCCCTCATCCCGACCGCGCCTCGTCATCGGCCCCTGCGACGCAAAAAAAACAAACAACAAACGCACCCGATGAAGCCTATCAAAGCCCTAAGCCCTAAGCCTTAAGCTCTGAACTCTGAACTCTGAGCTCTAAGCCCTAAACCCTAAACCCTAAACCCGAGACCCTCCAGAAACTCCCGAAGTCCCCCGCTTCCCCAAGGTTTCAGTTATGGACTCTGGAACTCTCGTCCTCAGCTCCCTAAACTCTGATGGGAGGGATTGTAGAGAGGCGTTCTTGCTTGGGGGTGGGGTTTAGGGTTTAGGGTTTAGGGTTTTAGGGTTTTAGGGTTTTAGGGTTTTAGGGTTTTAGGGTTTTAGGGTTTTAGGGTTTTTGGGTTGTAGGGTTGTAGGGTTTTAGGGTTTTAGGGTTTTAAGGTTTTAAGGCTTTAGGGTTTTAAAAGTTCTAGAGCTTTAGGGTTTTAGGGTTTAGGGTTTAGTCAGAGGGGGGAGTAGAATTGTATATAGTGTTGAGAGCCACAGGGTTACACATGCACACACACACACATTCAGCTGCCGATTTTTGGGTACCGATTAGGCCAGACATCAGAACAGTGAAACCTCGTATTGCTCGATTTGAAAGAGCCTCAAGCCGCAGCGCTTTGTAAGTCGCAAAAAGCACTCACACAGACAAACGCGGGGAAAATTTATAAGGACAGAGAGGGTTTAGGTTTTAGGGTTTTAGGGTTGAGGGTCTAGAGGGTCACTGTTCTAGCTTTCATCAGTCATTATAGGGTGTTCTAGGCTTCAAAACAAACCCACCCACCTAAAGAATCCCATAACATTAAGAAAATATACAGTTCACTCAGCAACGCGACAGACCAAAAATGGCAGCCAAAAATGGCTGAACAATGGTGCCAAAAGACATTTTTTGGTCTGTCGACACCGTTCTTGAGCCATTTTTGGTTTGTTGGCGCCGTTCTTGAGCCATTTTTGTTCTGTCGGCACCGTTCTTGAGCCATTCTTGGCTTGTCGGCACCGTTCTTGAGCCATTTGTTGGTTTGTCGCGTTGTTGAGTGAACTTCGTATTTTCTTAATGTTATGGGGTTCTTTGGGTGGGTGGGTTTGTTCCTAAGCCTAGAACCCTAAACCCCAAACCCTCAAAAACAGAATCTTTTTGTCCTTGCAGCTGTGCTTAGCATGGCCACCTGTTGACGTGCATGCGCTGGCCTAGTACTATGAGGTTTGTTGCGGCACGGACAAGGTCCACACCCAGTCGCCCTATTGCACTGCCATCTGGCGCAGTGGCTGTAAATTGCGCGAAGCCTTCGGTTGGTCTGCCAGGGTTCTTCTCCACATTGTTGTGGAGGCAACCTTCCTCAGTAAGTTTTCATGCTGAGGAAAGCCTAGCATCCGAGCCACATGACCCCAATCAACATCTCTGGCACTCGTCCTTTCCCAATTGCTTGACCTGATCTTTCCTCCAATGATCCTGTATGTAGACCAGTATACCCTTTCAGGAATTGGGCAGTGACCTCCCAGACCTCCTCCAAAGTCTCATCGCTTTCTTCTTCTGGGCTGGGACCCCAGGCAGTCCTCTTTTGCAGAAGCTTGTACACACGCTTGTGCATGTATTTGTCGGTAACACGCAAGCAGGGCATCAATCTTGCATAGTCCACCCACTGGTGGCCGGATGCCTTGTTTTTTTGTCATATCACTGCCTGCGCAACTAAACAATCCTGCTTGCTGTGCTTCTTCGAATGTGCTCACCAGCACGAAGCTCCCTCGCCTGTATGCATGAAAACAACCCATCGTGAATCGAAGAGAGATGTTGGAGCTGTGCTTGCCAAGTAAAGGCTTGCTCTTCCCCCACGCCAATCCTTACCTCAAACCTGGCACCCCCGAATTTCCCACCAGGGATGTTGCACATGCCTGCAATCACTTCGCCCAGCTTGCTGTGCATCTTTGTCACCATATGGTGGCTGATAGGAAGAGATGCCTATCACTTTTATGTAGTGAATCCAGGAACCGACGTAGATGGTGGCCTTGTGGATCCCTTGCCCCACGGTCTTTGACTCAGGCTTCCGAACAGGCTGTAGGTCTGGGCGCTGCCCGGCCAGGCTCTTATGTAGGGTCTAGGTTCCACATTCAGGCCGTAGGGCGCAGGGACTGAGTATTTAGGGTTTAAGGGTAGAGGGTGCTCGGCTGCTTCGTTCATTTCCCAAAAAATTATGTAGTCCGGGTCGGGCTTGGCTTTGCAACCAGCACCTCAATTGACAACATGCTTTGGATGGACATTCAAAGATAACCCTATTGTATGTTTGTCTAAGGCAGAGGCTGGGTCCTCCTGGTGCAGGATTGAGGTCAGCCCCTCAGTTGGCACCAGTCTACCCGACTGGCTGAATGACGGAGCCATGTTCTCACTATGAAATTCTGAGTCAAGTCTTGCTTCTTGTCAGAAGCTCAAGAAAGCTTCTCCTGCGACTCCTGCTTCTTTCATCTCTGCCTTCAGGACCCTTTGACCATTGATAGTACAGAGGAATGGTCATAATAGCAATGCTTGCAACATGCCCCTTACGCTTAAACCCTAATAGCTCTTTTTTGCCTCTGCTGCTGCTTGCATCTCCACGTTCTGCATCTCCAGCTTCTCCTGTCATGGTTTGAGGGTCTGCAGCTCAAGGAGCCACGTTTTAAAAACTGAAGGGTTCAAAAACCACAATCTGTGTTCATGGTAATTGAGCCCTGTTCTGGCCTTCCAGCAATCTTGCCACAGCTGGATCTGGTCCAGGCACTGTAGGCCCATGCAGGAACCTAGATCCTCTTGGGTGGCCAGATTGCCTTCCTTCAGCAGGCACGTAGAGCAGCCTGGCAGGGACACTTGCTACAGACTTAACTCCATGCAGCCTGTCATTCTGTCATTAAATTCTACTTGCAACACTACCTGCCAGGAGTCATGTGGCAGATCAAGAACGTCATGAAGAAGATGCCAAGGATGAAAGGAGCGTACTCCGGCTTCACGAGGAAAAAGTTCTCCTGCAACATTGTACTTACCATCACCTCCTGTATTCATGTTGGGTCTAGCCTCAATTCAGCTTACTGCAAAAAGATTGGTCCTGCGAGGCAGCTGCAAGCACCATCAGATGCAGCATGAGCAGAACCCTAGGAGCTATATTCAGGGGACCAAGCAATGTAGCAAAAGCCTTCTACACAAAGGTTTTCCTTGAGCAACCGACACGATGCAAAATATTCGGCTGATAAGGACTTCAATTGCAAAACCCGCGTGTTCCCGTTGGTTTGCAATCCTTTCGAACCCTCCTATTTGTTCCTAAGCCTAGAACCCCCTAATGACTAATGAAAGTTAGAACAGTGACCCTCTAGACCCTGACCCCTAAACCCTAAACCCTAAACCCTAAACCCTAAACCTTGAACCCTGAACCCTGAACCCTAAACCCTAAACCCTAAACCCTAAACCCAAGCCGTGTCCTAAACGGAGCCAGGCCGAAG